CTGTGATAAATAGAGCCCTGAGGTTCCTGGAATACTCCTGGGGGTCTCTCTCCCTAGAAGGTATCTGAGAAAAAAACAGGTTTACGTGGAAAATACTTAAGGGATTTGGAAATAGAAGTTTAAAAATGTTTAAAAGAGGTTCAAAAATTACTCATCTATGGGATACAAGTTGGGGGATTTTATTTTCAATTTTAGGTTTTTGAAAGCCCAAGACAAATGCAGCATTAAAGGCACTTTAAGCTTACAGAGGTAAGTACTTGGAAGCTAGAAAATGATCATATGAAAGTTTCCTGTACAACCTGGCTTCCCTTCCTCTTCTCCCTTTATTCCAATATTGTGACACATTTTTTAGTTACACAGTGGTGTATTTTTGCCAGTACGAGGGCCTGTCCTCATTCAATGCACAGAAAGGATTATGCTCCAGGAATAGCCCTGGGTGACACAGTGAATGAGACTGTCATCTTCAGCTTATCATGGAAGTGTAATTTTTCCTCCATCAGCTAACGATGGCACAGGCATCCTGTTCAAAGCACAGCGTAGAGACAGCCTGTGTAGTATTTTGTAAATTGAGAGCATCTGAAAGTATACACTGTTTTGTTATGAAATTACAACTGTAATCTTAATGATAGAGGAAGACCATTCAGGTGTGCGCATGTGAACACGTGTGTGCACACATGTGAATTGGTTGTGCTGGGGTTGATGCCATACCTTTATAGTAACATCTCCACCGAGTTTTCTGGCTTTGCTTCAAATACATAACTAATGGAGAAAGGAGGGAACTTTATTTGGAAGAATGAAAGGAGACAGCAGCTCAGAGAACTGGGATGGATGCTTTCCTACCAGAGAATAATCAGGGTTGCTTCTGTCTTGGAAAACTGGGAAGTCTTATCACTGCTTGTTGAGGCAATGGGGGAAGCAGCAGCATGATGGATACATGAAGAGGGGATTGTTGAATGCCCAAACCCTACTCACCCTGTTGCCATCTGATGCTTTGAGATTGGCAGTTACACAAACTGAGAAGTCCTCATGTATTTTCTTCCCTGTTACAGAGTAATGTGAGTACGAAAGCCAATGTTTCATTTCCCATACTCAGTGAAGTCATTCATCTTTCACAGAATCATGGAGTCACAGAATGGTAGGGGTTGGAAGGGACCTTTGGAGATCATCTAGTCCAACCCCCAACCTGCCACAGCAGGTTCACCTAGAGCAGGCTGAGCAGGAATGCATTCAGGTGGGTTTTGAATGTCTCTAGAGAAGGAGACTCCACAGCCCCTCTGGGCAGCCTTTTCCAGTGCTCTGCCACCCTCTAAGTAAAGAAGTTTTTCCTCATATTGAGGCTGAATTTCCCATCAGAAGTGTGTCTAGCATTCTGCCAGATGTCAAGAGTAACATTTGAGACCTATGCCTTCACTAGTGTGGGATAAAGAGACTGAAGGCACTAAAGAATTTGGCCATTAATGTTTGATAGCATGTCAGTTGGCTGCTCTGATGCCTGGAAGGATGTAGATAAACAGACAGGTTTGTTCCTGGTTTCTGGTAAGAGAACAAAACAGGAGAACTTCTGTTTCTGAGTGGCATGGCTAACAGCTTCAGGGCATAACCTAATTCTACTTCCCTCTCCCATTTAGCACTCTCCTTTATAGATTCATGACTCTGAGTAAGCAGGGAGGTATGAAATTGGCTGTAATTGGTACTATGCATAAATGTAAATGCCCATTTCAAATGTGTATGCTCTGCCAGCTATTATATTTTTTTAATTTCCCTGGCTATTGCTCTTTTTTAGACCATTGGGATTTGTTTTACACGTGGAATATTTTGGCTCCTGGGTGACGAATTCTACCCCAGAGCCTCAAGCCTGAGGGGGTTATATTGTTCCTCTTAGGGTGCATGTTAAGGAATAGACGCATGATTTCAAAGGTCCACAGTTCACCAAAGTTATGGCAGGTATGAAGGATTGTTTTTCTTCTGAACTCTTCACACTTGAAGGAACTACTTTCCTGAGAGGGTGGTCAGGCACTGGAACAGCCTGCCCAGGGAGGTGGTGGAGTCACCATCCCTGGAGGTATTTAAGAAACGTATAGACATGGCTCTTCAGGGCATGCTCTAGTGCCCAAGGTTATTGGTTTATGGTGAGGTGTTGAGTGTGGGGTTTAGTTGGTGGGTGCGGTGTTTTTGGTGGGCGTTTGGTGTGGTGTGTTTTGTATTTGTTTGGTGGGGGTTTTTTTTGTTTTGTTTTTGTTTTTTTTTGTGGTTGGACTCGATGATCTCAGAGGTCCCTTCCAACCACTAAGATTCTGTGATTCTGTAAGATTCTGTGAACTCTTCATTTGATATGGGTGAGAATTATAAGAGGTCACATGAACAAAGCATCTCTAGCTATTCTCCTGGTTGCCCAGTGTCTCCTTCTAGCGAGTCAGGAAGTCATCCACCACCTTCAGTGCTCACTGGGCAGGGTCTAGTCCCAATAAAATTTTTGCAGAAGGGATATGAAAAGCATACTGACTTTAATACTGGGGGCCACTGGCCTGCAAGTAAGTGAAGAAACCAGAGGGAGGAGGTGCTCCATAACTGGGAAAACTACCTGAATGTGTGAAACAGGAGATGGGGTTAGCACAGGAGCCATGGAGGAGAGAACTGGACAGTTCAGGAGAAAACCGAGTGCCTGGCAAACTGAGAAAGACAGAAAGTGGGTAAGAAGTTCTGCATGTGCTGGATGCAAATCTAGGAACCCACTTGGGTGGGGTATCTCAGTTACCCTCACCTTGAGGGTCTCTGAGTTTGGCTTTCTTGAGAAAATGCCATAATTTTGTAGCAGCTGCAGTGCTGAGAACATAGAATCCAACAAAAGGGAGCTAAAGGGAGTCCAAAGGGCGGCAGTATTACCCAAAATGCTGACCCACATTCAGAGGTCAATTGAAAATCCAAGGAACTGTTCGGCTTGTTGCAGATGCTCTGCTGTGCCATGGATTGACATGTGCCTGTTAGGACCAGGCTCCAGGGAGACAACGTTCTTCCAGCTTCTGGAATAGGATGGGAGCCCAGAATCAGGTGTCCTCCTGTGCTAGAGTCAGCGATAGTTCTTCCCATGTATCTATGAAGGGGTTTTGTGCATCTTGGAGTTTGTGGGAAGATGTGGTCTTCTTAAACTCTTTAACCATAGCAACATCCCCTACCTGAGCTTGGAGATGTGAGCACAGCCAGCACCTCATAGAGAAGCTTAGTGACACTTTTAGATGGCACCGGTCTCATGGTGGTGGCTTCAGACCCAGCAGCCAAATAACTCTGCAGGGCGTGTTTTGGTCCTGGAGCGTGGCTTTCTGGAGGGCTGCTTCGGGGTTCACCTCCTGCCCCTCTCTGACATCTCTGGATCTCCCTTGCCGTTCTCCTCCAGCTTCGCAACTTGTGTACCACCTCAAGATGCTGGCCCAGCAGGATCCGCACGGAGGCTGAAGGGTGGCAGCTGGCATCGCCTCTTAATATAGCAGTGAGGGCTGTGGCTGCACAGGCAGCGTGGTGCAGATCGGTTTGGAACAGGCTGTGTGCTAAAAAAGAGTTGAGTTGCACGTCGCAAAGGCTCGATGGGCTTAACGCTGAGTCTGAGGAGCAGCTTGAGTACGCAGAGGGGAAATACAGTGGCTTCTTAAGGGCTTTTAGGGGCAAGCACAGGTGGCATACAGCAACCTGGGTGCCCACTCGGAGAGGGACTGTGGTAGGAGGTGAGGAGAGGGGGTAGACACGGCCGGGTGGGACTGCAGCTGGCGTGGAGGCCCCTCAGCTCTCTGTGACACTGCTAGCCCAGGTAACGTGAAGACCAGAGCTGTGGCAGCACAAAATATCTGCGTGGGCTGGAAAATCATCCCACAAATGGTCCTGGAGCTCCTACGCTGCTCGAAGCTTGCTCGTTTAAACCCAGTGCAGGATGAGCTCAATCACAGCGGGGATTGCAACTTAGACATGACCTGTAGCCTCTTATAAACCTCAGGAGCTCTTCCATCCCTCCCAAAAGCTGTTTTTTTTTTAAAGGATTTCTCAATAGTTAACCGTGTGAATGAATAAATCATTATTATGATTCAAATAATCCCGCGAATGAATAATTCATTGGAATAATTGAAAAGGGAATCTCAGCAAGAAGCATTTTACTATTTCGAAGGTAAACATTGGTTCGCTTTTTTATAAGAAAAGGTATATTCTCCAGCAAAGTATTTTTCATCTGGTGGCCATACCCTAATTATGTATCATATGAAAGAAAAATATGCTTCTTTGTGCGACAGCCATCTTCATATATATGAGAAGCTATGCCTCTTTTTGCAACAGCCTGTCTTCAATGCTAATGAGCGAGAAAGGGAAAAGGATTAAGTGACATTTAAATCATATTCACCTCCTTCCTGAGGACAGAGCCAAACGAGGCAGCCACAGTCAGCCAGTCAAAATGTCCAGAGCCTGAAGGAACTGAATATTCGGGAGGAATTGGGAGGGAGGGGTAAAGAGGGGAATGTTTTCTTTTAGATCTGTGCTGCTCAGAGATGGTGTAGGCTAAGCATATGGCTCGCAGCCAGCAAAGGCATCAGATACTATGATGATAAAAGCCTGCTTAATAATATTTAGCACCGACAAAGGGCTTTCAAGGGAAAGACAGGCTTCTGTCTCGGGCAGGATGGAAGCAGCCTCACCTGCCAGCCCCATTTTCAGAGGGAGAAAGCAGACGGTCAAGAGTTTCTCTGTGCTTTCAGATGCCGAGAGGGACAGGGACAGAGCAAGCCACAGGTTCCTAAAAGCAAAAGAGCTGGTCTGATCGCCTGCAAAATGCAGTTTGGGCTCTCGGGGGGACAAAGCGGGGTGGGAAACAAAAAAATGAGCAAGCTCACCTGTTTGGTGAATGGGAGAAGGGTGTCCTCCCCCCCCCTCCCCCAAATGACAGGGGAGGAACTGCATTTACCTGCCTGTTTCTCCCCCCGTGTGACAGGCTGCGGAGGGTCCGGTGCCACTGTCACCCCCGCATGATGGCAATGACCTTCTTAAATGGAGGTCGGGTGACGGGCTCAAGGTCAACCACAGCCTGCGGCGGGGGCAGGCACCGCACCGAGGTCTCCCCCAGGTCCCGCAGCCGGCGGTGTTTGCCAAGGAAGGAAGGTTTTGCCCGGAGGGGCAGGGGGCAGGTCCTCAGGGTGGAGGGACGTAGGTAACTGTGGGCATGATGTAGGGTCCATCCAGGCACACAGCCGCTGCCCGGGTCGCAGTGATTGCGTCTCTTGCCCGCCTCTCCCGTCTCTGCGTGTGTCTCTGTGTGTGTGTGTGCGTGTGTGTGTGCGTGTGTCTGCCTGTACCCCCCATCCCTCTGTGTCCCCGGGTGCGTGTGTGTGTGCGTGTGCCTGCCTGTACCCTCCATCCCTCTGTGTCCCCGTGTGTGTGTGTGTGTGTGTGTGTGCTCCTACACCCCCTCCTCCTCCTCTTTCTCTCTCCACCCTCCCCTCCCCTCCCCTCCCCGCGTGTGTGTGTGTGTGTGCGTGTGTGGCGGTGAGGGCTGCGCCGCGCAGCCACCGCGCTCTTCCCGCACCGCAGCCGGGACCGGAGCAGGAGAAGGAACCGGAGGAAGAGCTTCTCCTCCTCCTCCTCCCCGCCGGGCGAGCGCAACAGGCGGGCGGCGGCGGCGGA